GTGGGATTAAGGACTAAAAGTGATGTATGGGAGGCTTAGGGAAGCAACGACTACGGTCCTGGAAAATTGGAAGGGGTTGGGCAAGTATTTAACATAGCTGCAGTGCAACTATCAAATATGGCCCAGAAAACAAATAAGGAAGAAGCACTCACTAGGAGTGTTAGATAGAGCTACCACTTGGAAAATCTCCATGATTTGGTCATATTTAGATGCTGCAAAAAGAGCATACCAAATGGACTTGCCAAATTGGTACTTGTTTCACAAGCATCACTTCTGACCAGAAACTTGGGAAAATTCTGAGAAAATATTGGCTACATGGAATGAGCCAAAATCTTGAGTAGATGGGTTATATGGATAGGAGAAGGCTTGGAAATATTTTCACACATAATGGAGCAAGATAAAATATACTTGCTTCACAAACTAAAAATTTGGACAAAAAACAAGAATTGCTCATGTTCTCTCATAGATCAATGAAATGAGCTGAATTTGGGTGGGGGCTAATTATTTGGAATACTTGAGAAGATGGCAAAGTTTCTTACCATTTGAAAACTCTATGAAGTTACTTTCTTCACAAAGTTGCATTCTGGTCAGAAACTTTGAAAAATGGCACAGGGAGCTAGGATGAATGTATTGAGCTCATCTTTGGTATCCATGAGTGATTTATCAATGTTAATCACCCTGCCAAATTGCATCTCAATTGGAATTAGGAATAAAGCACTTCCTTTGCAAAATTTCAGAGAAGGCAGAAACTTTCATTGGATCATGTGCCCAATTTTTGACCTGTGGAACACGAAACAAGAATGGAACTAGTGATTATATAGCAAGGTCAAGCTCTACAATTTATGTGGGAATTTTCTCTCCTATAGAAATAGTAGTTCCCTTAGAAAATGGCAGAAATGCAATATTGGTATTAAATAGGAAAAGGAAATTTCCCTTATTTAATTATGGCCAATATATTTGCCAGAGTTTTTATTAGGCATAAATATCAACTCCACCAATTCACATGAATTTAGGAGTTGGCTAGCTGTGCCTTTGGATTTTATTCCTCGGAAAGGCAAGAAAAGGAATAAATCATAATTCAAAAGTATTGCATGGGACTTGGCATTTTTGCATATCCAAGGTTTACAAGGATAGGAGGGTCTCTGGGAACAGATGGGATGATCAACAGCCCAAGGAAAATGATAGCTCCTTTGTAATCACAAAGGCCATATTCAAATTCCAAAATTTTGGAATTAGGGTTTGAGAGGGTTTGAGCTGATGCAAATGAGGTCTTGCCAATTGACAAAGACACGAGCAAGGTTTTGAAATGTTGGAAATGATAGGAAATCTCAGAGCCATCCAACAAACTCAGGAGAAAGATTTTGAAAATGAGTGCCGGGAGAGAATAACAGCACAAAAATTTATAACCCAATTTTTGGGCTGTTACAGTCTTCCTCGTGGGAGGAGGGAGCTTCGGTATCTTCGGACGTTATGTCTGAAGTACCTTTACGGCGAAGGCCACTTCTGGCCTCCTTGCCCTTCTTCTTGGCCTTATTCTCCGGTGCCTGGTACGGCGCCAGAACCAGCATCTTTGTCAAAAGAGGAATAGCTGGGTCTTCGGGCAGTGGAGCCGGACACCGGATCCGCTCCGCCTTCTTGGTCCAGCCCTGAGGAATAAGGGGAAGGCTTAGTATGCTCCTTGGATCTACAAGTTGAGGATATGTTTGGAAATCTGAAAAACTTACTTGAGTAGCCGGATGAGCGCGGTCGAGGCCGAGGTCTTCGGTCGTTTTCGGCCACGACTTCTGGGCCATGAAAAGCAGCTTCCATATATCTTCGTGCGTTGTGCCAAAGAACCACTGCAAGGTCCGAGGACTGGCCGGATCAAACTCACACATATGGAGAGTCCGGCGCTGGCAGGGGAGAATCCGGTGAAAAAGTATCACCTGGATCATGTTGGCAAGGTTGGTGTTCTTCTCTATCATGCTTTGGACCCGCTTTTGCAGCGTCATCACCTCATCAGACGACGCCCAGTCTAGGCCCTTTTTGATCCATGATGTAAGCCGCATTGGAGGACTGGGTTTGAATTTAGGAGTGGCGGCCCATGCGGTGTCGCGGGGTTCCGTGAGGTAGAACCACTCATGTTGCCATCCCTTCACGGTTTCTACGAAGGTCCCCTTGGGCCAGGTGACGTTAGGGAGCTTGCTCACCCTCGACCACTTTTGGCTTCACGTTGAAGACCTTGAGCCATAGGCCAAGGGGGGATGCGGAGAAATGCCTCGCACACGACGATGAACGCCGAGATGTTGAGGAATGAATTCCGGACTAGATTGAGGAAATCTAGCCTGTAGTAGAACATGAGCCCGCGGACGAAAGGGTGGAGTGGAAACCCTAGCCCGCGAAGAAAGTGGGGGATAAATACTACCCTCTCATTGGGCTCCGGGTGGGGATGATCTGCTTCTTGGCAAGGAGCCAATGGGCGATTTCTTTGGCTAAGTACCCCGCTTCCCAAAGTTCCTTCATGTTCTCCTCCGTGACGGAGGAGGACATCCACTTGCCATGCGCTCCAGATCCGGACATGGCTAGAGTGTTAGCTGGGGGAGGAAGGGGTTGAAGCTGGGGCGCTAGAGCTCGAGGACAGATGGGCTGAGGAGGAAGAAGGCATGGGGTAAAAAGGTGGATCCTTATCTTCTTATAAAGGCAGTGAATATCAAGCGTCCCCCCATGAGCCTTAAAATTCGCCTATTCCCAAGGGGTCATATGAACGGCACGGTTGGATTACCCAAACCCGTATTGATGAAAATCCCGCAATAAGGGGACACGATCTCCGCTTTGACGAGACGTGTCAATGAAGACCGCGTCTCGAAATGCGAAGCGGGAGGCTGAAAATGGTTCGAAATAATAATAAGGCCAGAACACAATGCCTCGCTGAAAGAGTTGTCAGAAGACATGACCTATTTTTGTTTAAGTATTTTTCCCTTGTGGTTCACGGTTGTAATTACTGTACAAAGCCGAATACAGTTCTTTTGATCAACTACTTTGGAGTGTTCGGAGGAGGAACCCGCCTTGCAATGCCGAAGACAATCTGCGTGCCGGACACATCGTCATTGAAGCCTGGTTCAGGGGCTACTGAGGGTGTCCTGGATTAGGGGGTCCCCGGGCGTCCGGGCTATGTGACATGGGCCGGACTAGTAGGCCGTGAAGATACAAGATTGAAGACTTCCCCCGTATCCGGTTAGGGCTCTCCTTTGCGTGGATGGCAAGCTTGGCGTTCAGATATGAAGATTCGTTTCTCTGTAAACCGACTCTGTACAACCCTAGGTCCCTTCGGTGTCTATATTAACCGGGGGGTTTAGTCCGTAGAGGCAATCACGATTATACATGCTAGACATCTGGGGTTTAGCCATTACGGTCTCGAGGTAGATTAACTCTTGTAACCCCTATACTCATCAAAGTCAATCAAGCAGGAAGTAGGGTATTACATCCATCAAGAGGGCCCGAACCTGGGTAAACATCGTGTCCCCCGCCTCCTGTTACCTTCGATCCTCAGACGCACAGTTCGGGACCCCCTACCCGAAATCGGCCGGTTTTGACACCGACACCGGCCACGAGGAGGGGCCCGGGAGCCGCTGCGCTTCTACCAGCAGATCAAGGACGCCGAAGACCTCGCCATGCTCGTCCCTCGCAAGTTCGTGGAGGTGATGAACGAGTGGTTGGTCATCAAGCGGCTCCCACGTGTGGTCAGGCTGTCGGCGAACAAGTGATGCGAGTTCTCGATGCGGGTCCAGAACTTCAAGGGGCACATGGTGCTTGGCCGGCGCTGGAACTATTTTTGACGCCACCACCGGATCGTCCCTAGCGACCTCCTCGTTCTACGCATCTCAGGACTCGGCCTGAAGGTCCAAATCTACAACCACGACTCCTCAATCATGTGCAGGGTTCGTTGTAGCAAGCACAGTTGCGTTGGTGTCATTGAGCATGCAATGTAGTTAACTTAGGTGTTAGTGTTGAACTTGTTATGGTATGTGGCTAGAACTTATGGTACTTGTGCTGTGAACTTGTTAATATTTTGGCCAGGAGCAGCACCCTGGCGTGGAGCAGGGAAGGAGGATGCCCTTGCTGTTAATCTAAGTAGTTTGTTGTCATTTCCGTTGCTTGCTTTGTTTGATCTCATTTGGTTGCTTGTTTTGTTTGCTGTCAGTGCTTGCCTCTTTGATCTACTGTCAGTTGTGCTTACTGTTGTGCTGATCATGTAGTGGTAAGGCCACCACATTTGAATGAGGTGAGCATAACACAACCGTTGTTTGCAACCAAACAACTGAAGTTTGCATCTGCTCACACCCTAAGCACAAAAACGACAACCAAACAGCAAGGGGTAAATGCCCCTTCATGAGATGCAGGCAACCAAACAGGTTGCATCTGCTGCATACAAAGAATCAGGCTGGCTAAAGATGGACATGCAATGAGGGTACTGTAGCAAACTACAACCAAACACGCCCAACACCAGCGTGAGAGGCAAGAGGTGAACATCTTGTTATACAAGGCAGAACATAAATTACATGAAGCAAATTTTAGGTTCAAATCGAAACACCCACCCCTATAGCTAGCCACGCAACATAAACCCTCCATCTTAAAAAGATTCAGGTCATATTTCGACCGTCCAGTTCCGGAACATGAAGCAGCTATGTACAAAGAAACATTTGGCCAATGGTCGCACAATAATATGTAATCGGAACACACGTAGAAATTTCAACAATCACAATACAAATGAACAATTACAGTCACTCCGTTTGCTTGCACATACAAATGCTTCCCGAAGATGAAGAAAATGTTCAGCTACGACAGAAACTAGCGAACACCACATAGCTCCGGATGAGTTACATTCACTCTCACAAAAGTAACACTAAAATACTGGTCCAAACACTGGGACATGGCTAGATAAGAGATAACTTCCTGGCGGCTTAAACAAACAGGTTCACCACCACATGGAGAGCGCAGAGCAGAGCAAGAGCACAGGACATCTAATGGTTGTCGACTCTAACTCCATCCACATATGAGAATCCGAACATCCCAGATTTTTCCCCATGGCCAGGTGGGAGCGAATCTTTGAGCTCATCGTCCGGATGGCGCCAACACGGTATGGGCACAGGCCACCTGTTACCATTATTCAACCGTTTTCCACACATAATCACGTTATCGGTAGATGTTTTTCATGCAAAAGATCAAAGTGATAAGTAAATACTTATAATGCACACCTGATTGGTCTATCGCTGCCAACTTCATCAAAAGACCTGTGTCAAACACAGTAGGCTAGATTTAATTGGAAGTTTTATTTTTTTGTTTTGATAAAACACAAAATGTCACGTCCTGCACTGATCTGAAACATGATAGGCACTCCAATATGCCAAACAGAAAGTCAAGTGTGCATACCTTTTTTCCACAAAATTTGCCAGCACTCGAATAATACAGTCCCTAAATATGAATGGGGTTCCTATTTTCTTATCATAGAAGTTCATGCCAATAAATCTCCCATTAAAGTCAAGCAGAGGACCACCAATCCCAGCCTAGCAAATGAAAAGTGACATTAAAGCTGTATCAGTATGCATGGAGAAGATGTCATTTGTAATATGGTCTACTACATCATGGATACATCAAACAAGATTAACCCCATGAACAGTACTAACCTTTGTAATCTTACAACTGGAGTACCTAAGATCTCTGTAATCAAGCGTGCCTGACCAGCAGGTTCGTCTTCCATGTGTAGCCATTAACCTGCCAGATTTGAAACAGCACCCCACAGCTACTACATTGGGATCTTCCAATGTAAAATGATTCCACCAATCATCATGAATTCTAGCTGGACGAAGACAACGGTAATCCTCGACAACGATGAGAGCAACATTATAGTATAAATCATAATGTTGCAATTTCCCTTCTTTGCGCTCTTTGTTTGGAAGCAAAACTTCAATCTGCAAATGGCACTGTGAGACCTAAGCAGAAAATGTAAGAAGAGCATCAAGAACCAACCTTCAACTTTTCAGCAATCTTGTTTCCATCTTTAGGATCCCTAACCAAACTCGCTGAAGTCAGAATGGGGGTGCATCCATTCCAGTCAATAAATAAGCCTGTGCACACGAAAAACCTCCTTTCTCCTGCATATATGACGCATTTTTTATTGAGAGCCTAGTTCAAATGTGGAACAGTAAAAGGCACATTACTGTAATATTACCGATGAATGAAGCGAGTGAGACAACCCGTCGAGGTAAACTATGAGAACCCATATTTGTGAGTTGGCTCCAGACACCTTTACCAGAATCATATACGTCACCAAAAGTCTCTTCGAAGGTATTAACCAAAACCAAGCCCTCTGTTCAATGATAGATGGCACAATAGTAGTCAGCGGCAGAGGAAAGCTATAAACAAGCATAACGCAGTACCAGATTACAAGCATTAACTCACCACTGACAACAGTCGATGATGGCTTTGGATAACCCAAGGAGTCTAGATCCCCAGATCTGTCTATATCCCCAAATCGAACACACACATGAAGATAGTGTAATAAGGTTAGCTGAATAGCATTGAGACATGAGAGTACAACTATAAAAATCTAAAACAGCATATGGTTATTATGAAAGCACACACGTAAAAGCCTAAGTTTGCACCACTTGTGAGGATCTTATGAAACAATATTATTAGAGATGATGAGAGAATGCACAAAAGAACAATACATCTGGCTGTGTGCTCACCGCTTGGATAGGTGCAATAGGGCCAGGGCTGCACCTCTCTCTGTATTTCTACATTCCTGTGCAAAGACATAGTAAACTTGCAATAAATACATCCCAGGAGTACGGAAGGAAAATGGACCAAAACAGCACTGCACAACATCTACGCGAACAGAATTGCTGGAGAAGAGAAGAAGACTAAGTTGTAAGGAGAACGGCAATGTCACTATACAAACCTTCTAAGATCAGGAAATGATCATAAATCCTACTACTACCAACATTCTAAGTCTAAACCAGAAAAAAGAACTCTTCAAATTAGAAAAATCTACTAGCATCAACATTGAAATAATATGAGATGAGTATTCTTAGAGGCAGCAAAGAAGCAAGTGTTATCTAGGGATAAACAATGAAAAATGCAAGGAAACTACAAACAGCATATATAAATCTACAAAAGGGACAAAGAAAAGAGAGTTGGATTTCTTGCTCCCGAGCTCCATGGAACCCTGCTTTTGAAATTTTTGAAATAAAATTCCAGAAAAATCTGAAAAATTACATATGAACATTGCAATGTATACTACATTTATGTAAAGTTTCATGATCAAATACGTTTCGGTGTCAGCTGTATAAGAAAACAAAATCATAGACTTTTATAGTGAATAGTGCATGTGCTAGAAAGACATAATTTTTGTCTTTGTGTAGCTTGAACCACAACATATTTCTTTCATGAAAATTTAAGGGGATGTAGTATACATTCCTAGATTCATGTCCAGTTTTTTTCAGAATTTTTTGAAACTTCAATATTTAGTTTTTGTATTTTCAAAATTCCAAGCTCCGTTGAGCTCGGGATCCAATTGCAATTTCAGCAAAGAAAAGTACTACTCCCTCCGTTCCGAAATAATTGTCGCCGGAGGTTCCTAGTTCAACTTTCGTCTAGTGCAAAAATATCCCCACTTTCCAATTTTACCCTCTGCGTCGCTCGCACTCGCTCACTCACTCGCGCAACCGCACTCACTCACTCGTACTCTCCGTCTCTCCCAACCGCCCTCTCTCCCACGCTTCTCGCCGCTCGCCGGCCTTCCCCTTCTCGCCTGCCTCCCCTCTCCCCATTGCTCGCCGGCCTCACCCTCTCCCCATCGCCCGCCTCTCCCTCTCCCTTCCACCGCCCCCTTTATCTCCACCACCCCACCTCCACTCACACCCCGGATGCCAAAAATCCAAATCTTTTGCGCCGACGACTAGCTTCTACTCTGGAGGCGTGGATGTGGAGCACAAGCGCTGGATCTGGTCGGCGGAGGCGTGGATTTGAGCGGCACCCGAGCAGCGGATCTGGAGCAGCGCCGGAGCAGCGGAGCAGCGGATCTGGAGCGGCGTCTTCGTCCTCACGGTGCCCACGTCGTCGTCGTCGCCGGAGTAGCTGCTTCCTCCCCTGCCCAAGTCAGAGTACTTAGTACTGTAGTCTTTCCTCCCGCCGGTCCATTTGTTTGATCTGAAACAATTAGGTCCTCTGTTGCTTGGTTGGTTGGATACCGACAGTGAAAATGGAGAGCGAGAGGAACGGGCAGATGTTGTATCCTGAGGCAGAACAATCTTGTGAGCTTGGGCAAACCAGTGCTATTTCTCTGAATCCATGATCTAACAGTTTTCCTGATGCCTCCCAGCCCCAGATGCCAACCAGTGTAATCACAATATAAACAGTACCAACAGTGAATAAGGTCAATTATTTTTGCAATTTCTTCCACAGATGGAGTATAAAGCTAATTGGTTGTACTGTTAAACATCTTGCTCATGTGGTTGCATCTGCTTGTGTTGAGCTATGCTATTCAGGCCAGCCAAAAAAGCAAGAGTACTCATCTTGAATTGCTACCGTGATAGGATGAGTAGTGCTCTGTTAGGAATATAGAATTCCTATTCCTATATAGGAGTAGTTTAGTTCCCAGTAGGGTAGTTCTTGCTAAAGATTTGTATAGATGACTAATTTAGTTGGAGCCATCTTTGGACCATAGGCAGCGTCAACTTCCACATCGACGACGTCGTCGGGACGTCTGACAAATCAGTGCGTCTCTTGAACTCACCTTGGTGCGGGCCATCTGTGTGTGTGTGCCCTTTGATTTGCAATATGCAGGAGACTAGAATAAAGTGCAAATATTTGAGTGCCTAGTTCTCAGGTCTCAGCTCCGAGCTACTCATGTTATTAAGTCTAAACCACTAAACATATACTCCGCCTACAGAGGAAAATTGTACTTCGAGTACGTTTCTGTAAGTTAACTTGCATCTAAACAGAGGCAACTCTGCATTGTTTCTGAATCACATTTCAGTAAAAAATTACTCCACAGAAATTTTTGTCAAGCATTGTTTCTGAATGTTCACTTAAAAATTTCTGAATCACATTGTTTCTGAATGTTCACTTAAAAATTTCTGAATCACATTGTTTCTGAATGTTCACTTAAGGCTCTCTTTTTGTCAAGCATGCATACTCTGCTCCTTTTTCAACAAATGGCATGAATATCCAAGTATTGATCTCAAATGGTGTATTGACCATTTTTTTGCTCCTGGACATGTTAAGTTAACAAATTCACAACTTTATTGTTACTGAAACTAAAGTGCAGTCCATCTTCACCTTTCCTTGCTTCCTTGTTTTGATTTGGTTGTAAATAAATAAGATCCCATTTCATTTGGTTTGCTTGTGTCAGGGAAAAGAAGCAAGGATCCATCCTGTGAGTGAGACCATCGACACACACACACACACTATGTTTTACAAGGAACACACACTATGTCAACAGAGTAAGTGATCCCATATTCCCATTGGATTGAGTTACCTCTTTTTCCCCATTACTAGAAGCATGTGGACATTCTTGTCACAAAATCACATGGCAAAATGTTGCCACCTTGCCCTAGATGGTTCTATCAAGTATAGTTTGGAAGAGGAGTTTGGAAAAATCATCAGATTAAACCTGATACTCCCTAGGTGTAATCATGACAGGACTAATCTGTCATTCACATTTTTCACAATTTTCATTCTAATTTATTGTCAAGACTGTTGGCTTCATTCATTAGGATACAAGGTTTTTTTAGAAAGTTCTTTAAATATCCAAATATTGATCTCAAATGGTGTATTGAATTTGTTCCCATTGACTCGCAGAAACTTTAGGCATGTTTGCATTTGGACAAATGGTGTGCAACAATGATCATCATCTCTAAATTGGACAATTGGACAACATCAGCAGGAGGACAACAACAACAACATTTTCTCAAGCATTACAGGTTTCCCAACTGATCATTACACTCCAGTAATTTCTTCTGGTGCCAATTGTGAGGGTGATGATCTTGTCTGATTGCTATAATTGTTGATCTTAACAAATTCTTCCCGATTGAATGTCTCCTGATCAATTTTACAGACTATTGTACCTGAAAGTATCGACGAATTCTCCCAATCTGCTGTAAATTTCAGTGCACCTGGCGAAAACTGATAAGAATTGGGAGCAGCGAGGAGCCTGGCAAGGACCAGGCGGGAGAGCAGCGAGGACCAGGCTGGGCAGCGCGGTTAAGAGGACCAGGTTGGTGCAGCGAGGACCAAATTGGGAGCGGCGGCGGCGGCCAGGCTGGGGCGGCGGCGACCAAACTGGGCAAGGATGACGGCGAAGAGACTGGCGAAGGAGGAGGAGGGGGTGGAGGGCGGAGGAGGAGGTGGCCGGACTAGCAGCTAGAGGAGGTGGCCGGCCTGGCGGAGGAAGACGACGAGGAGCCTGGCGGAGGAAGACGACGACTCGTTTTTAAATCAGGGGTATTTTTGTACTTTTGCTCGTTTTCACCTGGTCGGAAATAACCCCCCAGCGACAATTATTTCGGAACAGAGGGAGTACTTTAGTTTTGAAGTAATATGATATTCTTGGAAGAGGCAGCCAAGAAATTACAATTGTGATACATAAATAAATGTACAAAAGAAACAGCACCCAACAATCCAGACTTCTGCAGAAATAAAGACTGGAAAACTGTTCCGAAACCAATGGCTTACCTTGGAATTAAGCTCAAGTATTACTAAGAAAAATAAATGCAGGGAGGACGAAGTGGAATTAGCGATGGACACACACAGGTAAGCAGAATAAATGGAAATACACGAGATATACCTGAACGTCTTAGCTTCCTTTTTTGGCAGAAGTTCCTCCAAGCGTTCGATAATTATACTCCTTGGCATGAAATAAATTCTTTCCCCAACCAAAGAAAGGTTCAAGCCAACAAAGTTCCCATCATAATCAAAAAGCGGCCCACCTTCCCAAGCCTAATAAAAATGAAGTGATAGGCAACAAGGTTACATCGGAACGAAAGTAATAATGATATGGAAAAGGAGGTACATGCGAAAACACCAGTTTTATGGCTCTGATATATAGTTCAGTGCATACAGTTGCAGATAAAATACAGAGGCCATAGTTCAATTGTACCTCAGAGATTTCACAAGTGGAGAACATAAGCTGTTTGCCATCTTCAGATCCACTTGAATCAACAGCAAGTATCCCACTTGTGGCCATTAATGTGTCAGAATCGGCACGTGTGACAGCTACTACCTTCCTACAGGGAAGAAATTCCACCTGAAGACTGAGATCCACTGGATGAACACCAAGAGTGACAAACAGTACTTGGACAATAACAATCCCCTGATCCGAATCATAGCTTTTCAACAACCCTTTGGCAACCTCACCGTTGCGACGCACTTCGATCTATAACGGGACAGCAAAAAAGTATGCAAAATGTGACAAACTGGCAACTATCTTAAGCAAACAAGTAAAGTAAGTGAAGGATCATTAGCAGCACCAACTTTCAAGGTATTATGGCCTTCTCTGTTAATATCATTGAAAGCTCTAACCAAACTTGCTGAGGTCAGAAAGCTTGTCACATACCGCCCGCTTCGCAAGGCTATGCCTGAGCATGCAAATAACACCGCATGTCCTACACAAGGTTGCAATTTTAGTCATCTATAACTAACATTTTTTAAATTAAGAACTAAGAATACTAGAGTATGACAGGATAGTCACCATCTGACAAAGCAAGGGAGACAACATTTCTAGAAATTTTTGAAGTGACTTCTTTACTGAGCTCACTCCAAACACTTCGGCTAGAGTCACTAAAGCTGTCAATCGGCTCTTCCGAATTGACATCTGAATGTATGTAACCTAGTTAAAAAACATGATGGAACACAACTGTTAGTGCTCCAGTATAGCTGTAATAAAACATGAAAAACAATGAAGTGCCGACAAACCTGAAATCAACAAATCAAGTGTCTCTGCTCCGCCAGTGCAGATTCTCCTATTCTTTTCGGAGCTTTCTGCGAGATTTTCTGTTAGAGCATCACCAGCTCTCTTACTTTGCAGCATATTTCCCAACACTAAAGCAGAGAGAAGAAAATCCAAATGTTCCGTCATAGCAGGTTACACAGGGTTGTCGAACAACATAAATCAAAGGGTCCGTAATATACGAAATAAAAGAGGTTTTACACACAAAATTAAAACACTAACTGGCTGATTGTACTTTCGCACTTCTCCATATACTCAATCAGTATATTTTTCAATATCCCCCTTATAGAAGAATAAAAAGGTTTTCTGATGCAAGGATAAAATACTGAGTGCCCAATACCGGTGCAAAAAGGTTCCCAACCAAGTAGAACGCATAATAATTAACTGCTGTATCTTATCAAATTAGGAGCGAAGCTCACCAATTTCATTATTAAAAGAACAGTTTTGCTAAAGCACATCTAGATGTGCCATAAGTACTGCACATCTAAGTCATATATCATTAATCATACCGAGAGATTCGTGTCGGTATTTTCTTTTCCGTTTTCTTTTCTTTTTTATACTTGATGAAGTCACTTAGCTGTGCAATAACTATGGCACATCTAGATGTGCCCTATACACAAAAGAACTTAAAAAGAGAAAGAAAGAACGCCTACCAATTTGACGATGGGGTGAAAAAGTTGGAACTTTGAACCTCGTAAGGGCGGATCTAGATGATTGCCGATTGTGCACCCAAATTTGTAGAGGTAAGTTTCGGATTAACTAATCACTGGGTGAGGAAAAGCTCATACCTGAGAAATCAGTGTCCAAGGTTGCGGATGGGGTGGAGACAGCAGACACGCGATGAGTTAGACGGGGCGGCGATGCCGGCGACGAGCGTGAGCGGCGGAGAAGCCGTCCGCGCTGACGGCCGATAAGGGGTGGTGGATTTCAGAGCCGCATAGGATGAATCTGAGTTAGGGCATGAGAGCGGCGTGGGAGAGGACGGATCGATCGGGCGAGAGAGGAAAGGTAGAAGGGGCCCCTCCAACACGAAGGACGCCATTGGTTCAGTACATATAACAGCATCTACGCCCGGGCTCGAAAATTACACGTCTGGTCTTCCGAGTCTTTTTTTTTCATCGAATTTTGGGCTTTATTCAGAATAACAGGAGCCGGTTACAATCTGCCCGTAGGCTAGTGCGAAGGAAATCTGGGCTAACAGTTAGCCAACTGTCCGTCCCATCAAGTGTAGCACGCTGAGCACAAAAATGAGACGGCACATTCAAGTCTTTACCGACATGTTGAACCGAAAAAAAAATGCAGCACAATGTTCAATAATTCTTTAAAGATAGGCGATGCAATCGATCTGAAATTGCCTCGCGAGATCCAAAGATCGACAATGTGAAGACAGTCAACCTCCATTATCCGAGTCTCTGTACAGTACGATTTGATCATATAAGAAACAATACAATCCTTAATACATATGAATACATAACATTATATGGTAGATACCCTTATGGTCTCCTCCATGTTAAAGAGCGTCCTGGTGTTGTCATGTGGCGCCACGTTTTTACAGAAAATCCTCTCCTTTTTTAGGCTGCTGCCAATGCATGGGTACTTAGATGAGGTGCTAAGCACATTAAATAGCTTAGCAACTATACTCCCCAATGCATAGGTGCTTAGCTTATGGTTGCTAAGCTTGCTTCATTTAATGATTTACCAACTAAAGTTCTTCATGTATTGGTGGGCTTCCTTCTTTTAAATGTTTTGCCTAGGTTCACGCGCTTAGCATTGGTTCTTCCTGGGGTCACCACACCCATCTCTTTTCTCTTAAATAACTTACCACATCAGATTTTTTGCCTACGTGGAAGGCTTAGCACCTGTACAAGGTGGAGCATTGGGAGGGGCCATAGGAAACAACCCGTACTCCCTCGGTCCATGCGCCCTCTCATTCGGTTCTCGCGTGGTGCCAGTCGTTGTCGGGCCCATTTGCCGGTCTCCCGCGGTGAGCCGTCATGGAATTCAGTGAGAATCCATTTTAAAATTGCATGCATAGGATTCCCAACATACTCCCTCCTGTCATTTTTAGTCTTCATATAAATTTTGTCTAAAGTCAAACTGTTCCTACTTTGACCAAACTCATAGAAAAAGGTATCAACATTCACAATGTCAATTCAATATGCGTAGATTCATTATAAAATGCAGTTTCATAGTATATATATTTGGTATTATAAATGTTAATATTTTTTAATAGAAATGTGATCAAACTTTGTAAAGTTTGACTTGACACAAATCTAATACGTGAAATAAAAAGGACCGCAGGGAATACCTTGCGATTGCCCGCTCGGATACTGCAAGATGCCTTGCGCCGGCTGGAGAGGTCGCCCTTGCCATTAATCGTGGCGTTAAGCCGCCCAACGGCTCCCTCCCCGCCGGGCGGCTATAAAAGCCAACTCCACCAGCCTCCTCCGATGCGCATCTCTCCCCGTCGCACTCCTCTGCCGCCGCTCTTCTTTGCCGCCGCCAAGCCCACTCCCCTTTCTCCTCTCTCTCCCATCATCGATGGCCAACCACGGCGCCGGCAAGCAACCGCGGGGGCGGTGCCGCACCCGCCGCCTCATGGTCGTCCATCCATAGCCAGCCGGAGACCGAGGAGACCACCATCGTCATCGTGCTTAGCAACGGGGCGACATGTCACTGCTGACGGCTACATGACGCCTAGCCTCGACGCCACTCTCAAGGAACTGCACACCCACCCCGGCGGCTGTTGGAACATGGCAGAACGTCGCCGCGGCGTTTATGGAGAGGAAGCGTTTTCTACAACGTGCTCCGCGCGTACCACCATAAGGCCGCCTGTGGTGAAGCACCCCCCGCAGCTTCTCCGCTCGCCCAGTCGGCGCGTGCTGCTGGCGGCCGCCACGCGCATGCAGGCACACCCACTTGGCCCAGCTCCCGCCGGAACTAGCGGCACTAAAGGAGGCGGGTGACCTCGGGACATGTTGGGATTTGTCCGCGTGATCCACAACTCCATCATCGCGCCCAACTGGCTTCCATCACCGGAGTTCATGGACCCTCAGACCCGGCTGATGAGCCAGGGTACATGAAGACGTAAGGGACTCGATGGAGGCACTAATAAAAACTCGACTAGATGGCGAGTTGTTCATCGTCCCGATCTTTCACGGTATTAGCAGTACAAACAATATCTTTCGATCTAGCAATGATGCAAGAACGTAAGATAAAAAAATACTGGCATCGAGTAGACAGAATCAACTCCCGCGTAGCAGTGAAAAAATCCGTATGATCGGCAAAATCAAACATGATATTTGGTGTCCCCGACATCAGAGGATTTCTGACTTTTATTCAAGTCACGATCAAAAACAAAACTGAACTCTCCTAATTAATTAGTGCTAGCTAATAGCAAATTTGGCAATCCTGATCACGTAGGATCCATCCTACCAAAAATAGACAAACTCTTGTGTCTAAGAAAACACATAATACTAACTAGTAAGAGCATCTTCAAAGGCAACCCGCAAAATTACTCCTGCATCCATCCACAGACAAGGGACCAGTCTATGGACACGGATGCGGAAGGATGATATTCAACGCTAGTCGTATACATTTTGATAACAACCCGAACCAACCGAATGAAATTCTATCAAACATCCTATACTTGACGGTGACATCGTATGACATGTTGTCCTGGCCGGCGGCTTCTCCTCCGTCATCAGCGCCCGATCTGGCGTCGTCGTTGTGGCCTTCGGTAGGCAGAAGGTGGTGTCGTCGCGACAGGGCTTCGCGGCGTCCGTCTAACGCTCGCGGGTGATCCTCTCCGCTTCTTCTTGCGCCGTGCGCAGTGCAGGTGCGGCCATCGAGGATGTGGGCTGGGGGAGAGGGCGGCGGTCATCGGAGGAGGCATCGTTAGCTGCGTCGATCTCGGCGAGGGACCATTTCTTGCCGTACCTGGCCATCTCCCCATCGAGGCGGCGGAGAAGGCGCTTGGCCGTCTCCCACGTCGTTACCGAGCGGTCCAGGGCGTACGCCAGGTCTGGGTCCGCCGTGATGTGTGGCGGGAGGAAGTCCGAGTCCACAAACTTGGACCGGCACGTGGCGTTGCGGCAGTTCGGCCGGTTGCTCCTGCGCCGTCATGGCGCTCCGGGAGGATGAACAGTTGTCGCTGGTCCCGCCGCTGGCGAGGTAGTGGAGAATGCAACCGCGCGCCGCTCCTCCTTGATGACTCGCCGGGGTGGCGCTGAGCGGCGCGCTACTCCTTGACGAAGCGTCAAGGTAGCGGGGAGCGGCCCTCCTCCTTCACGACGCACCGGACGGCGGTAACCGCTCCTCCTTGACGCGCCGGTGCGGTGGCAAGAGCCGCTCTTCCTTCATGCGGTGTCCAATTTTGGATGCCGCGGCTGCACGGCGGTGGAGAGCGTGGAGGAGATGTCGACTTCATGAGGAAGAGCGTCCCTGGTGGCGGAGCTGGGCCATTGATGTGGACGATGGAGCGACGAAGCATCAGCTCCATCTTCTCCTCGTACTCCGTGTCGGTGGCGGCATAGACCTGCCCTTGCACCACCGCGGCGGACTGCGGCGGCTACTAGTCCTCCTCGTCACCGAGGAGATGACGGTCTCCGTCGGCGTCAAGGAGCTGCCAGCCGATGAGGACTACGACCCCAATGTTCGAGGACGGCGTCGCCACGATCCGCCAGATCCCGCCTCGAAACCGCCATGCCGGCGCCGACGCCTAGGACTTGCCCATCGCCAGAGATATGGAGGGAGATGGACGGAGATAGGGAAGGAGGAGGAGGATATGATGTGGACGGCCCCGGAGTGCGGCTTATATAGCCGCGGCTAGGCCATGCGAAGGGCCGATGAGCCGCTTCAATGCGGCGCAGCGACTGGAGTTGGTTCCTTCGGAACATGTATCCGCATTGAAGCGGTGGCTGATACGTCTCCAACGTATCTATAATTTTTTATTGTTCCATGCTATTATATTATCAATCTTAGATGTTTTATATATATTTCCTAGCAACTTTATATCATTTTTTGGGACTAACCTATTAACTTAGTGCCCAGTGCCAGTTGCTGTTTTTTGCTTGTTTTTTACTTTACAGAATATCAATACCAAACGAAGTCCAAATGCCACAAAACTT